TACTGAGATAAGGGTTTTAGAGTATGACAGGGGGACAGTTTTTGATTTTTTTTTTTTTTCAAACATTTATCTACCTCACTCTTATTTTTTTATATGTGTGTATATAAAAAAAATACATCTCACATTTCTCAGCAGCCAATAAATGCCGTTGATACTGGTAACCTCTCACTCCATATACCACATGCTCTAGGTTCTGGAGGGGAACAATCACTGCCTGTCACAGAGGGTCACCTCAGAATATTTGCCTCAATTCCAAGAGGTTTCTCCAATTTTCTGTTTAGCTTCTTTGTGAGGAGAAATCCAAGAATTGTCTGACTTAGGTGACCGTTCTTTAAGGAGACACAGGGGCTTTTTAATGTGCTGTCACAGCAGYCCTTGGGTCAGCAGCAGAGTTCTGCGTGTTTGGATGAGTGGAAATGCAGCTGACATGATACAGGAACTTCAAATTGTGAGTATTTCCTGACATCTGTTACAGAAATCAAATGTTTACAATATTTGAAGGTCCAGAAGAAATACTAAAGGGAATGGTCTTTCTGTTTGTCCTGTAGAATGGGCTAAGTCATTCCTGCCAGTTCTTGCTCAGATGTCACAAACATCAAAAAGCTATTTGGCTGAATCGGAACCCAAAAATAAATTGGCTCATATGTATGGCATCGCTTTCTTGACCAAAACCTGTCACAGGCTGCCTGATGATAATACTGCATCAAATTTACAGCTTTCAGTCTTTGCTGCTTCTGTTTGATGAGAGCACTGATTTGTCTTGATTTTTTTTTTKTTTCCAAAACTACCATTGAATTTCTTTTAATGTGCCAGTAAAATGTCAGTTCCCTTTTCTTCCCCTGTTCATACACATTATAACTGTGGATTCTGATGGACCAGCCATCACATTTTAACTGCCCTCTGATGGTGCCTAACTGGTTTACAATCACACAGGACTAACAGGAGCTTGCCATCAATTTGATGTATAATGTTTCCTTTTTCCCAGCTCTGGCAGCTGTTYGTGCAGGTGTTGGTTGTGGTATCTGAGTAATGTGGTGCTTGGCTACTTGGAGTTGTACATGGCCCCTTGGATACAAGCGCTGTGGTTAATTACTACAGTTTGTCTTTGGAGGGAGTGTTTCTCCCTAGTCCTGAGAAACCAACAAAATTGGAAGTTTTCACAAGATTGGTTTGATTTTCCATGTTTGATGATGTTCCAGTGACCTTTGGGTGCAGTGGCTGTTCCCCTCCCTTGCACATATTGATTACCACAACTGGAGATCCTCAGATCTTTCAGCTGGCTAGGAGGGTTTTGTTAAAACTGTCCGAGTTACTGGTTTGTAGAATTGTACCTAGGTGGTTTTACAATGCATTAGGAAGAAACACTAATGACGTAGCATCACGAGAAGCATTTCAAAAGCACTTCAGTAGAAGACAGCCACGAGGCCTCGCGTCCGTGCGCGTGATGGCAGTCAGCTCTCCTGGACCAAACCACCTTCATGATACCATTGTGTTCTGTGTTTGCAGTTCAAGCTTAATTCCTTTTTTTGTTCTGTTTCCATAGCTTTTTTTTGTTGTGTTTTGTGCATTTTGAATAGCTTTATTCACATGGGTTTTTCATGCAGACTTCCCTTGGACAGTAAATCGAGTTGTTTGTGCATGTGAACAACTGAGAATTAATGTTGGCTTGATAGAGTCATAATATGGTTTGTAATGTTGTTCTTCCCTGAGACCACTGGCTTGTCTGGTATGGAAAATTTATTTAGAACTTCAGCTATGTTTGAATAAAGTTAAAGTAATCCARTTTGTTTATAAATTAAACACAAAAGCCCACCCAGCCCTGAAAACCAGCATTCTGACAAATGGCACCAAGATGTTTCGATGCAGTGGGATAAGGAGTCGGCGTCGCCGAGGAGAGCAGGCGGCTGGGATTGCAGGGCTTGGCCAGGGGTCTGTCCTGACTGGTATTTCAGAGTGCCTGTGCCAGAGGAGGTGGTTTGGTTGCTGTGGTTGCAAGGGAACACGACTCCTGTGCAAACACAGCCATGGCACTGAATCAGATGCTCCTTGGGGGGGTGATAAACSAGAGGCAGCAGCCGAGCACGGTGCAAGGTGTGGAGCCACGCTGTGTGATGCCCCTGCTCCTCCCAGCTGGTGCCAAGTGCTCTCTGGTTCCAGGTGTGGCCGCACTCRTGTTCCTCTTGGTCTCCTAAAACAAAGGAAAGCAAGCCCAGTTTGCCCAGGACAGCTGGTGACCAGAGGGAGCTGCTGCCAGGCCCTCTGGAAACGGCTGAGGGGTGTCCGGTTCAGTTGGAGTCAAAGTGAACAGCACTCTTGTTGGTGTAACTCCATACATATATATCTATTTATACATATATATATCTGCATATGTATATCTATAATATAGATATATATATTTAAACCCTTTTCATTCCATTAGTACAAATAACACTTGTTTCCTGTTATTATTTTGTTTGTCAACCGTGCATTCAATCACTGGGCTGAACAACTTTGGAGGAAGGCGCAAAGGGATCCACTCCTTACTAACCAGTGATAAAGCCAGATATTGCAACTTAACCCATGAGTAGATGTGCAAACAAGGATTGAAGAATGGTGTATAGAAASAACACAAGTGGCCAGGGGTGCTGAAGATACAGAACTCAAGTAGGCAGGAGGGCTTTGAAGGACACCTTATACAGAACTGGTTGCTCAGAGAGCTGAACAGCCTCTGMCRTGGAGCAGCCGGGTCAGTCAGCACMAAGTTTGTGGGGRGACACCTGAAAACAAAGGACATGGCAGTGGGGATTCATAGAGGCACAGGGCTTGGCAGCAGTGTGAGGGACTATCCCGAGCTTCATCTGTGGGATAGCATCAGCGCTCAGCTGTCACAATTCTGCCCGTTGGGTCTTGTGAATAAACCTCTGGACTTTGCAGCTGGAGCAGTAAATTCCTTACCAGGAACGTGACAGTGGCTGGTCAGCGGCCTGTATGGATCTGTCTCACCTACAGTCGGCCTGTTCCGCAAGTACCTTAGGACTTCACTAGTTTGTGTGTGTGCATATGCGTGTGTGTGTGTGCTCATTTATTTTTTTGGGGTATGCCTTCTGTTGATTAGTAACCATTAATTAGCATTTTCAATAGGGCTTTAAGTCCAGTAGATTACGGGTAGTCAGTTGACGAAGATCTGGTTTACAAGAACTAATTAAATGTTTCATTGCATTTTGTAAGTGCATAGAATGATTTTATAAAATGTTTGTAGTTTATAAATGCCTAAAATATAATTTAAGGGCACTTTTCTGTGTCTGTGTGTGGGTGTGTCTGTCAGTGATCAGTTTTTCCATGGTACCAGTTACTAGTTAGCTTTACAATATGCCAAAAAGGAATCGCTGACTGGTCCAATTCATGGCTTTTCCCTCTGCCCCGTCCCGCCCAAGCTTTGTGACCCAGTATACAGTGAGGGAGTAAAGGAGTTGGAAAAATGTTCTGTATCTTCAGTATCCTGGTCTTCCAGAGCCCTCTGGTTGGGGTGGGATCATCGTAGCTGGTCATTTCACTTTACTGTCTAGGGCAGTTACCTCCATGGATGACAGAACCTCACTGGTCGGGCAAACAGAGYGGGGTTTGCTGCTCCCCGGGGCCGCTCGGCTCCTGCGCCACGGTGCCCTCGTGCTCTGAAGGATTCGACTGCCTAAGGGAAAGAGGGAAGATGCTTTTCATAGTTACTATTGAAGAACTCTCTGCAAATTTCTTATCACTTTAAATGTTTGTGTGCAGCCTCTAAAGCTGTTGAGCACCATTGGAAGCTTTGTTGAAATGAGCAAGGCAGGGTCCCTATTTATTGTTATTTAAGAATATTGAAGATCCAACCCCTCTGCTATGGACAGGGACACCTTTTACTTCTGTTTTCTGAACCAGTGAGGTTTGAGATGAAAGGATTGGCCAGAGTTTGTCTACCTCTGGGACAAAAACAAAACTAGAAAGTGCTAAGGAATGGATGCAGTTGCAAATACATTTTCCAGTTTTTCTTGTTTAAATTTTTTTAAGAGAAAATTAAACAATAACATGGCCAATTTATTACATAAAAAGACTTGCTGTGTATAAATTATTCCTAAAGAAATTCCTGTGTTTATATTAAAATGAATCAGTAGATAAAAAAAATTTCAAAATGTTTTTGTATATTCTGTTGTAAGAATTTATTCCTGTTATTGCGATATACTCGGGATTCTTTACATTATGAAAAGAAGAAACTTTGTCTATTTTGAATGGCTGAAGCTAAGGCTCCTTTAGTTTCTCTTACTCTGCTTTTTTCTAGTAGTTTCAGTACTACATGATTTAAGTTAAATAAAAGAATTCTGTATGCATTTGCCTGTTTCTGATTTTGTTGCTCCCTATGCAAAACAAGCACAGGTTAAAAAGCTCACACTAAAGTTGCTCTGGTTTTCCTGTGCCCTTTTTGGCTGCATTTAATTGAGCAACTCTTAGCAGTGGTCAGTAGTGCCATTGTTCAGTTGATATCAAAAGCATTTCATCCAGTGACACCGAGCTTTTGGATCCTTTCTGGCTGAGATCTGAGCAGTTCTGCACGAGACGGTTCCTGTGAATAAGGTGAGCATTGTTAGTTATTTATTTACCTGCACAGCAATCCCCAGATGAGGCATTCAGCCAGCCAGCACCTGGTTATCAGCTTTCTGTAACACTGCAAAAGATGATGGCAAGAAATCCAGCATTATCTTGGCATTCCTGTTTCCTCAGACTCTTGTCATCAGCRTGTATTCTAAAATCAAGGCTTGATGGTGGCCCAAAGCCCCATCAGCTGCCTGTGTTATGTTTGTCTCTTGTCCTTTTTACTGATGGTGCTTGAGAAACAGGCTTTTGTTTCCTCAGGAAATCCCAGGTGTCCAGATGAAGCTGCTGCTGTCCTGTCCTGACTGATTCCATCCTTGTGTCCTGGCAGCAGGATTACAGGGGAGAGCAGGGACATTGCCTGTGTGTAAAGAGGCAGTGCTGTGACACTCCGGCACTTCTGTACGGAGCTTTGGGGTGTGGAGAAGTCTGATCCCGTGTTTTAGAGTGTGGGATCTCCTTTGGTGCCTGTCCTGTAGGTAACATCGTGTGCCCTAACCCTTCCCACAGCTCAGTCCTTCAGGACTGCCTCTCCTGGGACAGGTGARCTGTTGGAATTGCCTTTGGGCTGTGCTCTGTGGAAGGGCTGTGGTGTTTTCCTCTGGGACAGGCACTGAGAATCTGGGGAAGGTGGTGKTTTTGGGTTGAAACCCAAGTTACCAGAGCATTATAGATTCTGCTGGATTCCAGTTTTCTCTGTACTTTGAAGTYACTCTGAGTCAGAGCCCGTTACTGATGTGGAAAGCAGCATCTACAGCAGGTCAATAAGAGAGAAACTTCATGTAGCAGAATCCCCAAGGTTGTTTTTGTTTCTYCCATACCCCTGATTTTTATGGGCTGAACTCTCTGGATTCAGACAGGGGCTGAGGGGGATCTCTCTTACATCCATCCYGTGCTGAGTCCTTAGATCTGTGAGCATCCATCTGGGGTCAGCAAGTCTTTATTCATGTCTTTTTAACCAACAGAAYCAGGATTAAGCATCTAAAATGTTTTACATCCAGTTTCACACTTTCTGAAAGTTGAACGACTTTATTGTTAGCAATATGAACCACCAATCATTTGGTTCTTTCTCTCAAGCCTTTTCTAAGAGATGCAAACGGTTGGTTGGGTTTTGCAAGTAAATATCACTGAAAATAACACAGGCTRTAAAATCCTTTGTGTGTGGGTTTTAAATAATCTTCAGATCTGCTTCATTTAAGAGATAAGGCATTCTAAGAAATGATCATTTTTTTCCTACGTGATCCATCTCTCTTTGTTCCCCACACTGTTCTAACATTGCCAAGATAATGGTCTGTAATGCTTTTCCTAGAAATTCTGCTGTTACTGACTCAGATAATGGAGGGACATGGATGAAAGCAGCTCTTCCACTGCCATAATACAGAGAAGTGTAGTAGGTGTAATCACAGAYGTACCTGCAATATTAAGAACAAAACAAAACCAGAAACTTGAATTAAGGCTCAGTAAACTTTGACTAAATTTAAATATTCTAAGTAGCCAAACCAGATTTGGTTTATGAAGTTATTAAGAACATATTTGCTTAGTGAAGAAAGGAAATGCTGAAATAAACCAAGTTTGAGAAACAAATGTTACTTATCTGATGGTTTGGTTTCTCAGACACCCACCCACAAAGAACTTTAAATTAAAAAAAAAATAAAAATCACAAGATAGGCATTCTTGTGGGGTGGGAAAGGTAACACACCCAGCTGGGAAAATACAAACATGTAACACAGTTTTTGTCTAAGTCACAAAATCTCCCCATCTGGAGAGTTTTTCTCTTATCATTCCACCTTTTAAAATGCAGGTGCAAATCCTGAATTTAAGGGCCAAGATTAGCTGAATTTTATTTTACCAAAACCCCAAAATTACTGTTTTGTTTTCATTTTCAGTGAAGACTAGCATGGTAGAAAATTGCTTCAGTACTACTGGAACACACAATGAGATCACAGAACTGGTTCTAACAGTATCTGTAATTGCTGTTCTACAGTGGATCTATTTACATTTTGTATCCCTCCCAGTTGGGAAAAATAGATTAAAATCTGCTACTAGTTGGTATTGCTTTCAGACTCCCTTAATCGCTGAGGTTTGCTGGGGTTGTTCATCAYGGGGTGTGCTGTGTTGGAGCTTGTTTCATTTGGAATTTACAAATCTATGGAAAAATATCTACTGGCTGTAGTTTTTCAGGAAGGCTGCTTTACATAAAATTTAAATCCATCCCAATTTCATACTTTTGCCCCTCTGAAGACTTGGCTTCCAAGCCATTTTGGTTGGAGATGAGGTCGTGGTGAAGATTCCCCAAGCTGAAATGAGCTGATGGAGTTGTTTCYGTGAACCCCTGATAGGCGATGTTTACCTTCCCGCGTCTCGGGAAAGGATGATATCAATCCCTTCCACTGAGATGTTTTTCCAGAGAGTCTTCATATTAATTGCAGATTCAATCTTTTCTGGGCCATCTAGCACACAGCAGGCACCTTCTGGGTGAAAACCACAAGCATCCCTCTCCTGGTAGCCTTTGTTCTTTCCACACTGCTCCAGGATGATGAGCGCTGTGGCGGACGAAGCCAGGCCAACATGAACTGYAAGCTGGTTTTTCCCACCAGAGTGAATAACAGGAAATCAAAAATGAGACCTTTTTTAAAAAAAACATGTGATGCAGAAGTACCAAGCATTATGTGAATTACTGGTTTCAAGGTGGGGAGCCTTGCTCATGTCTTAAGAAAACTTCGATAAGAGATTACAAATGAGAACCAAATTARGCAGTATTTTTGTTGTGTCTCGTTGGGACTGCAGAGCTGCAGTAGGTTTTTTGCAGTTCATGGTAGATTTTTTTCCTTTCCTTTGTTCAGCATCAGTTCTGCTGTTTAAATGGCACAGGGTTAAATCAGCATGCTAATTAGTKTGTGCTCCAAATTTCAGCTTGGAACCTTGATCACAGTTTCAATAGTCACTTCCAGAGTTGTTTGATGTTTTGCAATACTCTCTTGGAGAGTTTTTTCATTGTGTTCAGGGGAGGGGAGGGAATTGTGTAACTTTGTTATTACCCACCAGTGGCTGAAGAGTTGTCCATATCTTGCAGACCTGCTCCTTTGCTTTTTGGTAAACCACTGGCAGCTGCATGATCTGGAGATTGATGTTTTCACCAAGGCCTCTCTTGGACAGCTCCTGTGTTTACAAAAAAGCCACTGTGGATTTGATGGAGCATTGGATTTCTGACTGTGATAAAGAAATGGGGCTGATTCAACTGAGGAAACACCTGGAAGAGCAACACCTAAGCCCATGGTTCCTGAACATTGGTCTGCAATGAGATTTGTTTTGTGGTTGCTCCCTCTCTTTAACAGGAAGAGATTAAAATGTGCAAAACAGTTTCCTAATGTCACGTCTGTCCATGTGGAGCCATTGTTGTGTTTTCCAAAGAGATGCTCAGTCTCCAGTGGGTGGGAGTGGTAATTGCTTAGGGATTGATCCTTGGGGAAMCATGACACAGCGTCTCTCAGAAAAGCTCCACACTTGAAAGCATCTAAATAGGCTTTACTGTAGGTAAAAGCTATTTCTCTGAAAAATCTGGTAGAAAAACTGCACTGTCAAGAGACAAAACTAAGGAAAATTTGCCTTAAACATGACTTTTTCACTCCAGGGGTACGAGATCTGCTGGCTTGACCAGGTKCAGGTAAGCTGTGCTGGAGATCATTGTCAACATGAAGAAGTCACATCTAGAATGAGTTAAATTTATTTTTTGGCCTAGTAAAAGGAAGTGTCAGTGAGATGTTACTTTTCTGTCAGTTATGTACAGTTGAATTTTCACACAGAACCAATTTTCCCAAAGAAAAAATTATTCCCAGAATGGAGGTGAATGGAACAAAGGCCCCCTTCAAAGCAGCAGGTTGGCCAGGTGGTTGGAAGATGGTCTGGAGAATAAATGTCACATGGAAGTGACTTGAAATTATTTTGTCAGTGGAACAGGGGTAACAAACAAGCCCTAGGTCTCGGTAGAAAGCAGCTGCAGTGGCAGGATGCAAAAGGAGTTCATCTGAGGTGGAAAGCTTTGTCCTGGAAAAGTAAAATAGTAGTTGAAAATCCCTGTTCCATTTGAGTAAACCACTACTAAAAGAGGTACAGGTTAAGATTTTAAGGGGGGCACAGGCAAAAGCAGAGGTGTCTGATTAGCCCAAGAAACCTGTAACTGTATTCGGTGTCATTGTCTGCTCAGGTTTTCATTTCTCACTCAGGATACCCGTGCGGATGAGGCCCACAGTTCTGGGAAATCTGCCCTTCAATGCTCGCTTCCTATATAAACTGTTCCAATTTTCTTGTCAGCGGAAGCATTGATTAGCTGTGCTCAATAAACTATTTGACACAAGCAAGGAAACAATGCCTGCAGGGAAGTAAACACATTTGGAGAACAGTGCCAGCCTTTTTTCCTGTGGGTGCTGACAGTCTTTGAGAGTCCATTGCATCATCTTGCTGAAGAATGCTGTACTGTGCCTGAGCCTCCACACAAGAAAACCCCAGCTGGTTCACAATTAGCATTTTTTTTCCAAGGCATTTTTAATTTTTTCATTTAATGAGGTTCTTTGTTTTTAACTGTAAAGCWTAGAAGACTCGACTACCCCTAACTTTGGTGCAGAACATGAAGACCCAAAGTCAGCTGTAATGCTGTTCTCTCATGCCACCAGGCAGAAGCACACAGAAATACTTTTGTGCAGGACAAAAGGGAATCTGGCCAATAGCAAAGGGCTGAGAATTTGTGTCAAAGGAAGATGGTTCTCTGTGTCCTAAGCAATTTCAGTGTTGTCAATCATGTGTGCTACTGTGTTTTCTWAGAATCCCAGCCATGGGCTTAACATCCCATTAGACCAGATGCTGTGTAAATATGGAACATAATAAAAAAGGTTGTTCCTTGTCTCAGCCTTAACCAGATTAAATTTTGSATTTAAGGTGGGAGACTGAAGATGGTTAAAGGAGGGTAACTGCACCTGGAAACTAGAGCTCACACTGGTGAGTGTATTCAGTAAACAAGTGCCTGTCCTTTGTAGTTGAAACAGCAAAAGAAATGTCAGAGGAGGAGAAGAGTTTTGGAGGACTGTTTTGTGGGAAAAATGGTTTGAAAGAAAACATGAAGATTCTTTTTTGGGACATTCTTCTAGAAGAGCATTATGAGCTGCTGACCTCGAGCTGTTGGTGAGTTGTGGTCATAGTTCTGGTCTACTCCTGTTCCAGGCCAAAGAGAAGGGATTTGCACAGCACTGTACTCAGGTTGGTGCTGGGTGTCACATGGCATGTTGGAAACACTTTGAACTTCTAGAAAACTCCAGAAAATGTCACTTATTTTGCCTGAATTCTCACTAATTTGGGCTGCTGGGAAGGCGGTTACATGTGTTAATTTTGTGAACTGCTTGTGGCGGTGCAGAAAGGAAACCAGAAGTTTTCAGTTGACCCAGACAGACTGCAAGCACATTGCAAACAAAGGTGTTTTGTTTGGCTGGTTAGTGGGGTTTTGTTTATGTGTTTGGTTTGGGTTTTAATTGTTTAGGGTTATTTGTTTGTTTTTTTTGACTAATCCTGCAGATACCTTCTTAAAGCTTCAGGGATGTAAGAAAGTTCCAAAACAGAACTGAAGGCACTAAATTGCAATGTCTTAGTTTCACAGATGATGAAACTAAAGCAGAGAGGGAGAGAGACAGATTAAATGACAAATTTCCAAAGACCACATGGTCAGTGGCAGGATGAAAAGTGCACAGGGAGATCTGATCCTCATCTCCCGASAGCATAGTTCCCAGAAGCAGTTGGAAATGTGACCTGTTCTTTGCACTAACAGTTTAATTACTGTGAATGTTGTCACTCARCTTACATTCGTGCCCTATTAAGTGGGGACTTTGACCTTGATGGTGGACTGCCCTGRTAGGTTATTTTGCTGCCAAGCTGCAGACAGGATTTTCTGGAGGAGACACAGCAACAGGTTTGGATCAAGGGTTGTTAGGTGGGACCATCAATCTGTAGTATGGAATAAATAAATCAGGATCTGGGATTCTGAAGGTTTATGTGGTGCTGCAGAACTAACACATCGTGGTACCTCAGTGTGATCTGTCAGCAAATGCAGAATAAATACCTGGTGGTGTTTTCCTTTAGTGAAAGTGTCCTGCACTTCCAGAGTTAAAAGTGTTGCTGGCAGAGCTTTCGTGCATGTTTTAGGAGGGTATTTCAAGTGAATGAAGTTATGAGAACCATGAAAAGCTTAGTGAGACAGGTTTATGAAAGAGAAGCTSTCTTTCTAGGGCTAGACAACCATGTTGGGCCATGCGATGGTGTCTGTAAAAGCTCTGAMGCATTTCTCCATGACCCTGAATTGACAGGTTCACCTGTGTTTTCAGAATCTTTGGGTCCCCTTTTCCCTGAACACTCGAGGGGTACCTGCTGAAGAACACAATGATGAATGCAAGGCTGATGAGTGCCTTGTGTGAGAGTCTTGTGCTGTATGAGAACTTGGGYCCATGCAAAAACAATGGGATATTCTTCATGCTCTTGGAAAATTATGTCTTAATATTATTAAAGAGGCAATTCASGAATGAATACTCTTTTTAAACCAGCAGAATTAGAGATTTGGAGAGTTTTACTAAMATTTATCATTGGATTCCTGAGGACTTCAAGGAAAATTGAGGTACTCACCAAAATGGTGGTAGTAGTTAATAGCTAATTTGTAAGAGAAACAATATTTTCCTGAGTGCCCAATTAGGACACAGAAGGGATGTAGCTGTTGGAATGGGCTGTGTGTTCACTGGATCAATCTCTGATCCTCCCTACAGCAAGAAAAGAATTTCAGGAGARCAGCTGATCCCATCAATGGCATCTTGTGGAGGAGCTGGTAACAGGGATTTTAAGGAAGCAGTTGTGCATAAGAGCAAGGATTGCTCACAGAAGRGCAGCCATTGCTCTTTGCTCTTTGGCAAAGGATCCATTTCAAAAGCATGGAGAGTGAGGCTATGCTTTGGGATCAGGACACTGAACTGTTTAATGTATTTTTACAGGATTTCAGATGCTTTTGGCATGAGCACCYTTCTGGGATGTGAACTTTTAAGATTGCATGGATCAGCACTACATCATCACTGAGGGTGCCGTGGTATCCAGGCTTTTGATAAGCACCTACTTAATTTTGGGATGACMATTAGGATAGTTCTGGGTAATGCTACAAAGTCATTAAGGCTGACCAGTCATATTTAGTAGCTCTGTTCTGGCTGCTCAGCATGCTCCTGAGGATGAATTTCAGTGCACACTTGCATGGTTCACAGCAAAGACACTTGGCAGGAGGGTTTTATGTCACTCCAGTGATCCATGCAGGTACCCCAAGCCAAGACAGGATTACTTCCAGATGTAAATACTAAATTTTGCTATCTTTAATATATGTGCATAAGCTTCCTGAAGACCATAGGGCTACTCCTATGAATGAGGCCAATGGAACAATACTATGAGATTGCTATTTAGTGTAGAGAAGCATATCAAAATTCAAAGTACTTCCAGATTTGCAGCAAATGTCTCTGAATTGCCTAAATTAACCACCTTTGCCAAGGAATAGGAAACCAAAGCAGCATCCCCAGTCTGAATACAAATTAATTCCACATAGAGAGTGCCACATCAGAGGGAAATGGATTTGTTCTCCTCCATACACAAGGACTGACATCTGTTTTGTTATGGAATGCTGTGGCCCTTGTTATGTAACTCCCTGGCGTAGCCAGCTCATGGCATTGTTACAGAAAACTCGTCCCATCGGTGCGTTCTCGCTTGAGGCTGTTTTGCTTGCAGATAAAGAGCATTCTCTATTTTCAGCCAGAAGAGGATGATCTTGCACCCAAAATTAGAACCAATAGGAATCAGGAAATAATGAGCAAGAACASAGTCAACTGACAAATATTTGTGGTTTACGGCACATGTCAAGTTAGAGTCAAGATAATTTATGGGTCTCCTGTCATGACTGGGGTGTGGAAAGGTATCACAGAAGTGTTTTTGTTTCTTGTTAACCTACAGGGATAACATCCCTTATGACTTGGAGGAGGCAATAGGTTTATTCTACTGAACACCAAGCTGCACTCAGCATTCTTCACCCAACAAAGCTAGAATAGAAAAGATGTATGTGTTGGAGTTGCTACAGCTTTGGTCTTTGAAAAAACATACTGGCTCCTTGTTTTTCAATCACCTTGGCTTGAGTGCACTTCATTTTCAAAACAGATATTCAGTAGCTGTCACCAAGATTTGTACTATGGTTATAGTCCTGTAGAGCCATCACCTTTCTGTTATTACGAATACTTTTCTATAGCTGCCTTTCTCATTTCAGTGTCCAAAAGAATTAAAAAATGTATGGACTTGTTTCAGTCTTCATAACAGAACACAGTCCCCTTGGTTTGTTTTACGCATCCTGCTCTCCAGTTTTACTAGTGTTATCTGTCATTTCTCGCACATTTTGGACCAAKGCTCCAGTTCAATTTAACTACTTTGACTGTTTCCCCACTTGTTTCAGGTTTCATCGTGTAACCTTCTTTATACCTTGGGATTGCTAAAAACTTATGTGACAGAATTTCTCACAATAACTCTGTTCATAGGTACCTGCTGAGAGTAACTGAACTCCAGGAAAGGCCATTGTCCATGACAYGGAGAATGAATCAGTCAATGCTAAAAGCCAGGTATCCAAACCATGTCTTTATCCTCCTGCTAAATTTGTTCTAATATACCRATTTAGGAAGCAAACAAGAATTTTCAAGACTCCATCTGAGCCTTGTTACTGCTAGCCAAGGTATATGGAGGGAMAAAGCCTCTGAATGACCTTGTTTTCAATGTGACTGTGGACCTCACTGTCGTTTGAAAGTGGAAGGCGAGGCTGAAATGTGAACACAGATTTAGAGCTGGCACGGTTTAGGTTCTGTATTCCTGAAGCAGGCAGTGAGATGTCAATAGGCTACACTTGTGTGAGAAGGAAATCACCTCACACAGACATTTTAAAATGAACTTTGTTAGGAGAGATGATCTGTTTACTGAAGACAGATGTGCCACATACACTAGTTGTAGAGAAGGCACCTTAGATAAAAAAAAAATAAATCTGTAAACAAGGAATAATATTTTTAAGTGCTTAAATAGCACCAAAAAATAATGCAAGTAAAATAATATTTCACTTCTTCATTATCCTCTTTATTCCATGTTGGGAGTCTGCTCCATGAGGCAMAATTGTGTTTAGTGAGTATGGAAAACCTAAAATCAGTTTGTGTTGGGATCTATAAAAGTAAAATGCCTCCCGTTTTTTTTTTTTTTTATGCTTACCTTCACTGCTTCCCAGCTAGAATTAACCAGGTATTGTCTGAAGGGACCAAAACCTGAAAAGAAAGGAAATTGTTTTTAACCTGTGCTTACTCTGCAATTGCAGATTATGTGCTGACATGTCTGCACACACATATTTGTCCTCCATCTTCATATTTTTGCTTATGGAAGTTGAGTTTTTAAGATGGGATTCAGCCTTTATAACACTTAAGGGAATATGATTTTCTTTTGTATATTCACTGATAAAAGAACTAATCCTGCAATCTTCATTCATGTCAAGGCTTTCCTATGAGAGAGCCTTAACTGAAACTGGTAAATGTAGTGGAACCAATAGGACAGATCATGTAAATGATGATTTTRGGGAAGGATCATCATCCATAGAAATACTACTACTAAAAGTTATAGTATTAATTACTCCCAGGTCACAGTTATCATCATTCTTATTGTTAAAGCTCATGAAGATGGACATATGCATACTTAATRAAAATGTTTGAAAGATTAAAATATATTTAACTTGTAATTTATTTTAATCCCGAGTAATGAAAACTTAAGAGTTTTTTATCATAGCAAATGAGCTTTTTTTGTGATGCTGGGGAAAATGTCTTCTTTCATTTTTCCTCCCCAGGAAAAGGGAAAACACGTAGATTCCAAAGCATTACATTCAATTTTATGCATCTTCTTTTGTGAAGGACTTTTTTTCTTTTAATAAAAACAAACAAAAAAACCCCCTAATTTTGAGCAGATGGGCATTTTGTCATTAAAAGGTTTGATGGAAAACTCCCACTATCTTTATTAATCTCAATTCCTGTTCTCAATCCAGAGTGTTGTCAAGTCCTAGATTCTGGGTGTCAGGAAAATGAGTTTGGGAAAAGGTTTCAATGCTATAACTCTTAAATATTTAAAATCCTTAAATGGACAAATAAATACTTGACAGCATGTGATTGCTATTTTGCACAGTGAAAGCTACTTGTATGTAGAGACAATTAAGCCTAAATGCAGGCTTGTGACCGCTTAATTAGTGCTAGACTTCAACCATTTCTTAATTTGTTAATACTTATTTCATAACTGCTCCATCTTTTCTCTTTAATGTTATGAAAAGCCTGATTGTGCTAGTATTTTTGACAATGTTTTCTCCAGGTTTGAGTTTCTGCTATGGGGAGGGAACAAGGAAAATGGTGCTTATTTCACACTGACAGGGAACATAAAACCCCATTAGTCCCACTCTGCTTTGAGAACAAAATCAGGGTGACAGATGCTCTATTTTGGAGCTGTAGTTGTACAAATTTCTGTACCTATGTGTGCAGAACTGCAGAATTATAACGAAGTTGTTAAATAGCTCACAATGAAACACATGTGTCAGTGGTGGCCCTAAGAAGGTACTGCTTGGATAAAATCATCCCACAAAAAATGACTACGAGAGAGTTTTACTGCAATACCTGCAGCAATGTGGAGAGGTAACTGGCTGAATGTTATTGGGCACCACAGAATAAACTGGGCTCCCTGCCAGCAGGTTTATATTCTGAGCAGGTGAAAATGTGACAGAGACATGCTGTGATAATCTCTGCAGTAGGTTAAAGATGCACTTACGTCTTAACTAGTCTAAAACTTTTTGAACAAGTAGATTTCTCGACATAAATGGTGATCTAAAGGGAGGAAAAAACGGACAGGGTGCTAAGAAATGTTCCCAACAAGGGTATGTGCCATAAATATCATAGGAGAGAACCAGACTGTCAGGCTTTTAGGAGGGCAGCAAATACCTCTTGCCCTCTGCTGCACTCCCATCCAGCTCATCTGCAGTTACGTCTGGAGTAAGCCAGACTAGTTCTGCCCATCTTGCAGCTATTTAAAAAAAAAAAAAAAAAAAAAAAGTGTTTAATTGAAAACAGCAAGATGCAAATCTCTTTGATGTAGCTTCACCCTCATTCCTACGTCCTCAGATGACCTGCAGTGGAAAATTATCCAGCAACTCACATGTCAAGATATGTGTAATGATTGCCCTTAGATGAGCCAGTGGCAACAAGAGGAACAGCGAGCAGCAGCATTCCTTAGGAGCTTTMACCTTTTAAAGCTCAGCACTCTCTGAGCTGGTGGTTCTGCCTCTGTGATGCTGCAGTCCTCGGAGCCAGCAAGAGAAACTCCAAATTTGGTCCCTTGTGCTGCATGTTCAGGCATGTTCCTTTGGTGTATTTAAATGGAATGGTTTAGTTTAGCAGTGATGAGGCAGCATCTCCTGTTTAAAACTCCCTTACCTTGCCATGAAACTGAGCCCCTGAAAGTTGCCATGTGCTGCTCTAATTCTGGACACTGACTGTATGACATTGTGATGCAACCTGGTTTTCTTGCTTCTGAGCTTCTTTTGGGTAAGCTTTATCTAATAGTAGCCTGCACTGCCTTGAGCTATGTGGTTTGGATCAGAGAGAATGTCAACAAAGATTAAAACATGGAGAGAATGAACAACAAACCAAACTGGATGGCAGTAAAGAGGGCAGACTGCAGTCTGTTTCCTCTGACATGCATCTGATTTTTCTTAGGAAGGCACAGCAAGTTATTTTCCATTTGGATATGTTAGTATGACCAYTTGCTACTGTTTTTCCCTCCAGGAAACTGTTTATGACWAAGATCAAGCATGCGTGCATACCAWCTCTRGCTCAAAGAATAAAATAAARTATCTTACCAGTCACCACCACAGTGTTGGAATTTGAATCCATGCAATCTAKGCTCCAGAAGGTGGAATCTTGTGTTCTTCCAGCTCCAAACAGTATTATAATTCAGGTATCTGTGGCAAACTTCATTTGGGGCACCTTTTTTCTTCCAACTGTGATGTGTCTGGCTTCACATGACAGGGATGATTTGTGACTCATGTAACTTTTAAAGCAAAAATTATTACGTCTCTATTAAAGATAGAAGTCTGACTGACTGGCTGGCTGGATCTGCCCCAGACTCTTTCCTTTCCCAGGAACGGGGTATTTAGGAAGAACAGGAAAGGCTTAAAGAAATTTCYTGCAAAATATCCATCAATATTTTTCATCGCTTGTTTATGTGCAAGTAAACAGAAAAGTAATTGAATCAGTTTTATCACATCTCTGCGGGTATTCTGGTTTTAGCAGTTGCAATTCMCTTTAATGGTGAGGAATGACAACTACAAAAACTTGTCTGTCCATTTCCACCATTCTTGGATTTTCCTTACTGACTTAAACTCAGGGGTAACTTTGCTSTTCCTCTTCCAAGCACTTATTTGATTAACTACTCTTGATCTTTATCTCAGGCTTGTTATGAAAGAGTCCAAGCACTGTACTTCTTTAAAAATACACACCAATAGGAAARTGTGTGTATTTGCTAAACCAAAACATTTAGTCAGTAATATCCTTTAACAGGCGACATGTTAGAAAATCTCACTCCAATTTGCAAGGYTGGAGGAACTGTAGAAGCTGGGTTATGGCTTGCTGAAACTGGTGAGTTTAATAGCTRGTCTGTCTTCATTAAAGTGGAGCCTGAGAGCCAATGGGGGGGGCCTGAAATCAAAACATATGCACATTGTCACTGCCCAAAACAAAAGCATATGCAAGTTCTCTTGGGAATTATAACTATGTGGGCAGAGGGTTTCACTGGGTCTTGTTTTGAGTAGGAAGTGTATGTGTGTGTGAGAGAGAGGGAGAGGGAGGGAGAGAGGGAGGGGAGAAATATGCTAAGAATAGAAAGCCACTATATCATCTCAAGAGAGCTGGTAATTGTGAGACCTGAAGGAAAAAAAAAAAACTCTGAAGAAATCTCTTGGGTTGGGTGGTGGCTGAATGAGGTTTGGAGCTATGACCTGTGTCTGTCATTTAAATCCTTTTGTGCTGAGACACAATGAAATTTGTGGATTCTCTTTAGAGTCTCTTAAAAGACTGATTCCACCATCCATTTCTTCCCATGACCAACACAACTTTCAGAATTAACTTTTGCTAGCTGCTGGTTCTGAAGGAACTTCTGATAYAGGAAAAAGAGCTTTCTGCAGCTTTAAATAAGGTGAAATCTGCCACTSGCAGCATTGAATTACTTTCAAAATCCTACAGTCCTTCATACACCAGTGTCAATCAAGATTTTTAGGCATTAATTTTTCTACTTGGACAGTCAGTAAAACTCCTCCTATGATTCAGAATAGGGCAATGAAATACCAGTCTTCTCGTAGTCATTTTCTATTTGTGCTGTTGTTTTAAATCTAAGTACAAGGTAGTCTAATGAGCAAAGCATTTGTAAGGAATAAAGCAAGATTTAAGGTCTAYAGTTGCTTAATTAGTTTCCTGAATGAGAAATTGTGTTTTCTTTGGGACATGATAGCTGCTTTATACATATGTATATGAAGGGTTTTGCCTGAATGCTGTAAAATATTAGGTATTTCATTAGATATTCTTCCAGAGGGGAGATGTAAGTCTATTAATTCCATGCACTCTGAACCAACTGATATGATCTGTTTGGAAYGTAGTACTAGTTTTTAAAGTTTTTACAGCTGGCAAAAGGGAGTAGAAAAAAAATACAGAGTAGCAAAGATTAATTCACWAAGTCTTTATGAAGAAGCTGATAGAATTTTGGGGGTATGAGTGGGAAGTATTGTCTTCAATAGTTAAGTTAGTCCCTTTTCATAAGCAGATGTTTGCTGAATCGGAAGTAAAGATTCTGAGACTTTTCTGGTATTGGTAAATGCTTGTGCAAGTGTGGGAGGAATGCCAGTGGTTTAAACAAAACAAGAATTTGACAGAGACCACTGAAATTAATTTTTGCACTGATTTAATTGATTGCTYATGTTCCCAAGCTTTGAGTGCGTGGTAGTATACTTGGGGGATAATGCATTTATTGCAGCTGTGCCACATAGTTTAAAAAAGAATTGAAAAATTTGAATTAGGCCTTAGTTCGACTCAGAAATGAAACCTTTTGTTTCCTCTAACATTTCTTCAGCTGAAGCTACTCTTAAAATTTTTGTTAAAGTATGATTGTAACTTTAATATTTGCAYTCCTCTGTGTATCTGTGCCCGAAACAATGGATTTGAGGGTCACTGGATGTTTGAGGTCTGTGCAAATTAATCTTCCCATCCATAATTAAGAATCCAAGCCCTTGATATTTGAAGGCAAGTCACAGACACAGCTGACTCAGCTAAACACTGGTTGTTTTTCTTCTTGCTACACACAGATGTGATTGGCRTTGCACTCATCCTGAGGTAAAGAAGAAATGGAAGCAACTCAACTATGAAAATCCTGGTTATCACCTTGAATATTTTTCCACACAGATGTCTGATATTTTAAAAATCTTTTGAACCGCTGAGTAAGAGAAAAATATATTTTCTGCAAATGCATTCTGACCACACTGCAGAGCTCCCAGCACACTGCTCGAGTAGCTTTTTAGTAGATGGCAAGAGGAACAGAATATGGCCCTTCATTTGGAAACAGCTCTTTAATTTTTATCTCTTTTATTATTACTTGTATATATATATATTTATTTATTGATATTGGCAGGCACTGACCAATGTTTTAAACTGTTAAGTAAAAGTGTCTAATATATTCCAATTTTTATCTCAGCTGTTCAACACTTAATGAGAGGAGAGAAAAATCAAGCCGTTATGCTATTTAACACTAAACTATAATGGGACTTYAAATAGAAATTTCAGGATCTAACACTCCATGTTTCTTTTTCACTCTAATAAAAATAAATGACCCTCAGGAAAGACTTAAGMAGGTCTTTATGTAAATACGAAGCAATGTCACAAAAAGAGAGGAGACAAACATTCAATGTAAAGCTCACTGCTCCCTATGGAATGGGGCCTCTTCTATAAYAAAATCCATAGAAATGATAAATGGAAAAATGTAATGGCAATTTCACTTAAGGGTTTTTTTTTCCCATAGAATCACAGAATGGTTTGGGTCGGAAGGAACCTTAAAGCTCATCTAGTTTCAAGCCCCTCACCATGGGCAAGGATACCTTTCACTAGCTCAGGTTCCTCCAAGCCCCATTCAACCTGGTTTTGAACACTTCCAGGGATRYGGCAGCCACAGCTTCTTTGGGCAACCTGTGCTATTGTCTGATTTTGGATAAAAATTGTTACATATTTTATGTTGTTTGTTTACTTATTTATTTCAGTTCTTCTGCAATTGAGTCCATTGGCGTATACCCATTGCTCAGCAAAAATGGAAAAAAAATGCAACTGAAATACAAGTTTAATATAGTCAAGTTGCTGGATGGCTGTTACCAGTTCTGGTCTTGCAGTATTATCAAAAACTAATGGCTGTGTATGGACAGACTTAATTTTATTTTTTGTTTATAATGGGGAAAAGGACTTATTAGGGTACATGTAACCCACGATCAAGGTTGCTTTTTTCAGGTGTCATTTATCAGCACAAAGATACTCTGCAAGCAGGATACACACAATTTAACTAATTATCAGCTAATATGCAAACAGATTGCTAGAGCTAACAGTAATTAGGCTAAACAGAAACATGCTTTTTACTACTGCTAAGAAAACAGATGAGCTTCAGCTGGCCAGCAAGTTTCTGATAGGCTGGGTAAAATTGGTCTCTGACATTTATCAGCATGGCATGAGTTAGCATTGCTCTTTCTGCCTTTTTTTTTTTCCTTTTTTCTTCTGTATCTTTTCTCTTGAATCTTCTACCAGCTAACCATTGTCATCCCAACCACTTGTGTGGTTTCAGCATTTTGTCTTTCCTGCTGCATCTGACGGGATCTTGGACCCAACAGGACCAAACCTCTGAGCTGGAAGGTAAAGTCTCAAGAACCATGAGAACATGCTGAAATCCATTGAGGGTCTGTAAGGTGTAGTTATGTCACATCTGCTCTTTGGAG